TGCAGAGAAGTCAGCCCTGGGGTGGGGGTGGGGAATAGTGAAGGGAGGAGGGAAACAGGCTGGTCTGGGTGAGGCCAGGCCCGCACTGAGTCCAGTGGCTGCCCTGAGGCAGACAATGATCAGAGCTCCCTAGCAGCCGCGGGGAACAGGTCTGGGTCTGGCTGGGGCTTAGCTGCAGAGCCCTGAAAGCTCCCTCCCTGCCAGGTGAAGAGACCTAGTATCTTGCTCCCCATCCTGGGCCTGGGGGAGGGGCCAGTGTTGCTAAAATTAGGAGAAATTCAAAGATAGACTCCCGTGGCTTCCTGGGAAAGGGAGAAGCTTGGCGAGGTCGACCGCTTTGTGCGGGCCTTCTCTGCTTCCCGCCCCCTGGCGAGGTGCGCCTGGGGAGGGTGGATGGTACCTCCATCCCCCCATACTGTCCCTGGTTCACAGGGAGAGTGCCAGTTCCAGCCCCCACCCCAGCTCCTGCCCTTCCTGGCTGGGGCTCCCTCATCAGAAGTGGCAAGGGATAGAGTTTGGGGAGCCCCCTCCCAGGGTAGTAGAAGACAGCAGATGGGGTGTTTGTGGTGACCCCCAGGAAGAGGGCTGAGAGGTGCTGGACAGACAGATGCTCTGCCAGCCTCTGCCAAGAGCAGCCTGGGGGTGGGGGGGGGAGATGCTGGGACTCAGGAAACCGAAACCCCGGTTTTTGTCCTGGGGGAGCCCACCCACAAAGTGGCACCTGACTGTGCGGCTGGCGAAGGGCTGAGGAGGCTCAGAGCTTGGGCCTGCGGACCTCGTCCGGCGTTGCCCCTGCAGTGGGTGTCTGTCCAGTGACAGGTCCGGGCCTCAGTTTCCTCATCTGCAGTCTGAGGGGGTAACGGGAAAACCTGACGAGGCAGGGAGAAGTGAGACACTCGCGCTGGTGTTCCCGTGGCCTGAGGCCAACACGGGCCTCTCCAAGGCTGGCCCGGGAGGCAGACCCTGGGTCTGGCCGCCCTCCTGGACCCGCAACCTCGGAACATCAGGCGGATTATTGACGGGCCCATGGGCTTCTACCCGGGCTGCGGCCACAGTGGGGTCCTGGCTGCTCCCTGGCCTCGCTTTAACCTGACCGGCTGCCGGTGGGAATTGACCTTTTACTCCTGACGGGCCTCGGTGGCCTCAGCACGGGGAGCTCCCCTGGTTTGGGTGAAAATGGCCGGTGTGTCCTTATTTTCTTGTTCTTGTTGGCGTGGGCGAGAGGCGTGCTTTGTGCTGTTGAAGCTGCTCGCGGGCTGCGACTGGGAGTAAAGGGGCCGCTGGGTGAGCCCCACCGAGGGCCGGGGGCCAGGCAGTGAGGCCGGGACTCGGGCCGGTAGACAGCCCTCCCGACACCTGTGTCTCTCTGAGCAGATGTGCACCCCCAGCAACACGCCGGCCACGCCGCCCAACTTCCCCGACGCCCTGGCCATGTTCTCCAAGCTGCGCACGTCCGAGGGCCTGCAGAACAACAACAGCCCCATGACAGCCGTGGCCTGCTCGCCCCCTGCAAACTTCAGCCCCTTCTGGGCCTCGTCCCCACCCAGCCACCAGGCCAGCTGGATGCCGCCCTCCTCCCCAACGGCCCACAGCTTCCACCACCTCCACCACCCACAGCCCACGTGGCCCCCCGGAGCCCAGCAGGGGGGCGCCCCGCAGAAAGCCATGGCTGCCATGGACGGCCAGAGATGAGACTGGACACGCCACGCGCTGGGCTGGAGCTGGGCAGTCTGGGTCGTGGGGACACAGGAGGGCCGGGTCGGGGGCTGGGGCGGGCGGGGGTTTCCTGAAGATCGCACTGGAAGATTTTATAAAGGAATTTGGGGGGGTGGGGGGAATAGCAAACTTCCTGAGCCACTTGGGTCCTTCAGGAGTTTCTCTTCAGGCAAGTTTTTTCTGTTTTTAATATATAACTGTAATATATAAATATATAAATATGACTAACTAAGTGAATGGTGCTGGCTGGTCTGGGGTACTGGGGTCAGAGGGAGGGGCCAGCACCCCCTCGTCCAGTCCAGGGCAGGTGCTGCACGGCCAGGTGTGTGATGTGCGGGCACACGGTGTCTGCCAGCTGCCTGCTTTCGAAGTCATGGTCATGCTTCTGGAATTGGGCGGAAGGGGCCACCGGAGGCGCCTGGCAGCCCAAGGTGTGGGGGCCTCCTGCCATCACGGGACCTCGCCACCCCCCCTTGGAGGCTGGCACTGAAGAGCCATCGCGCGCTCGGGGCCTGCCTCTCGCACCCTGTCCTGGCCAAGTGGATGCCGGGAGGAGCACCTGCCTTTGGGTTCAGTTCCCAAGTCCATCATTTCACCACGTGAAGTTCACATGTAAAACTTAAAGGCTTTTCTGACTTCCCAGGATCGGGGCCTTTGTCCTGGAGGGAAGGCGCTCCTTGGGGGAGCGGGGGCTGCGCCCTGGGCATGGGGCTGGGGGTCCAGACCAGGGCCCGATGGACAGGCTGGTCCAGTTGAATGGAGGGGTTGGGGGAGGACGGGTCATGATTTGGTTACTGTGATCTCGCTCCTTGACCTTCCTTCGTTGCCCATCACAGGCCAGGCTCAGCCCCCAGCATGGTCTCCGCTATGTGGGGCTGCTCCTTCCCCCTGGTGGCCGCCCAGCCCCTTCTACGGGGCCCACTTCTGCTCCCTGGGCCTCCTTCCTCGGGGGGGTGGCGGGACCAAAGGTGAGCCAGGGCTGCTGGGGAGCCCAGCGCCGGGCGGGCTCAGAAGGGACCATGCCAGGCAGGACCAGCAGGGCAGCGGCCGGTGGGTGAGGAGACTG